GAGGAAGGACTGCAAAGGCTTCTCATAGAAGATAGAACTTTAGTTAAGATGTGAAGGAAGTCATAAATATGGAGTTAATAAATCCACGTACATACAAAGAAGTTAAATACAGAGTAGTTAAGGAGGAAGGGGGAGCCCTAAACGTTGGACAGAGGTCAAGAAAGGCTTCACCTACAAGGCAGGACCTGAGCTCAGTCTTCAAGGAAGAGATGGCTTCTAGGAGGTGGAACCATAAGACCTCCAGGCGTGGGCGACCAACAGCACCTAGACCCTGGGTGGCAATCCACTCCCGTTGGTTCTACTCTAATGCCTTGTCCAGGCAACCCTGGGTTCTCCTACACTGGCAGAACTAAGTTTGGCAAATCCAGGGCCTACCAAGCTGGAAAAGACTCCACCACAGGCCTGGCGACACATATTGATTGGGGGAAGACTAGTCTAGCTAGGTTGGGAGAAGATCATCTCCAGAAAGTTGCCTAGCGATAGAAATTTGTGTATATGTGTACCCAAGAGACTTAATAAAGGCTTATTGAATTGAATTGGTGCTAATTGAATATTCAGGCTTCTAATCTTTTTTTTTCCCCCACCCAAGCTAGAGGTCACTATGCTGCTCCATCCTTCTCTGTAACAGTTGTAGGATTCCCCAAAGCATAGATTCCCAAAGGTCCCCTTTGGCTTATAGGAATTCAGAGAAAGGAGACATTACTGGGGGTTATAGCAGTCAGACACAATGGACTTGAGCTAAGAATGAGGCTGATTAAGGGGTGGGGATGCAACCCATTGGGAGATGATCTAATGGCAGAAGTGATTAGACCTCTGCTGTCCCCATGGTAAGCTCACCCCCTGGCCCTCACTACCTCAAGCACCTCCCTGAGAAGGCAGCCAGGCTAGGTTTTAAGTGGTTTCTGTGGTCGGGGCTAGAGGGAGGGAGGGGAAGGAGAAGTTGATGCTGATCCCCAGCTATTCTTCCCTCCCCACTCCACCTCTGCCGGCTTGCCTGCCCCCAAGGCTGAGATCCCCCTGCCTGATAAGGGGCTCTGCACTTGGGGGATCGAAATGACTGGCTGATGTCTATCTGCCTCCTTGCATAAGAGTGCGTGGGTGGTGGGGGGGGGTTGTTAAAAACCACTGCCCAGCTCCGGAGGGATCGATTCTCCTGGAAAACAGGCTGAGATTGCAGCCGGAGGGAAGGCGTGAGTGCCTGGAGTACTAGTGGCTGGGAAGGCTAGGGGATCTCCTTCCCCGTGGAGGGGAACTCCAGTATACTAGGCCCAAGCTTGGTAGGAAAGAGATTGGCCAGGGGAGAAGGAGGAAACACCTAACTCACCCTGTCCTCTGGGCCCTGTTCTTCACTTTCTTCCTCCACCTGCGTATTGAGCATAAGTGAGGCAGAATGGGCATCCCCACTCTGATGGGACAAACTGGCCTCCCTTCTGCTCCCTGGACCCATTTATAGTGATCCTACCTTACCAGCCAGTGGGAGGAGAGGGAGACACGACTTTGCCAACGAGAAGTAGATTTGTTAGTGTGAGGCACCACAGGGCCTAGGCCATGATCTCCAGAATAAGACCTTATCATGCTCTCCACCTCCTGAAAGAGAGGTGATGGACTCAAGATGCAGAATGAGACCTACATTTCTGGACGTGGTCATTTGCTCTATTTGACCATGCATATTACACGTTTTATTTGACTTTGCACGTTACAAAAGTTTTTCTTTTTTTTTTTTTTTTTGAATCAGTGTAAAGGAGGGAGAATAAATGCTTATTAATTGAAAAAATAGAATAAGGCTATTAGTTGTCTGGACGTGTATATGATGCCTCATCTGTCTTCTCCCATTGGTTAATTTTCCCCAAAACCTGCATTTTAAGAATCAGTCATTCTTCATTCTCTAGACTACGATCGCCATCACCTCCTCCAACCCTTCTCTGCTCTCTTGTTGACTTGGGGAGGGGAACTGGACAAAGGAGAGAAAAGGAGGTAGATTCAGAAAAGTAGATGGGGAAGAGGCAAAGTTGAGCGCCTGGTGGTGGGCAGAGTGAGTTCCTTTACGCTGGAGGTCAGGACCTTCCCTTTCACAAACACCACGTGCAAGACCCAGCAGAGTTGGGCTTTCTGGTTACTGTTCTTCTGCCCAGCCTGACTTGCCAAGTCATATAAAAGGCACGGGGCCAGAGAAGTGTGCCCTCCCAATCATGAGCTGTGCCCCACCCCTCTCCATCCTGCATAGCCTGTCCATTTGCCCCTAAGGAGAGGAGTCAATCAGGGCTGGACAAATCAACCCCAAGGCCCCTCCCCTTCTATGTCAAACCTGTTGGTTTGTAACAAATACACACCCTGACTATCCCTAGCAGAAAGTCATCATAACTCTCAAAGATAAAAACTGAGAGAGAACCTGGGACATTGTGAGTGTTGAATTCTTACTCATATTTTAAAGCAGTGTGTAGCAGAAAGAGGTCTGGATTCAAATTCTACCTCTGGCACTTACAAGTTGTGTGACCTTGGGCCAGTCATTCATCCATAAAATGGGGGTGCTATTACCTATACTACTTACCCACCTCACAGGTTGTTATGAAAAAGGTAACATCAAGTTATTATATAACTTTCAATTATTATTTTGGTGAAGACCTTTTGATTTCATCAATGTGGGGGAAAGCCTAGTATGGAAATTCCCTCTAGTGACCAATAATAGCTAATATTTATATAGCATTTTAAGATATACAAAACACTTTCCATTATATAATCTCACATATGAGGCAGTTGATATTATTGATCCCCATTTTCTAGGTGAGGAAACTGAGGCACACAGAGGTTAAGTGACCTGCCCAGGATCATACAACTATCAAGTGCCTGAAGCAGGTTTTGAACTCAGATGTTTTCTGAGTCCCAGGCCAGGCTCCATCCATTATGCCACACTGGCTCCAACAACAAAGGGAGATCAGCAACTCAATCTTAATGTATAGTCTTGCAGAGTTGCCTAGGGTGCTAAGAGGTGGAATACCCTCCCTGCCCACGACTTGGTTATAAAAGTCAGAAGCAGAGCTTGAGCCCAGGTCTTCCTGACTCCAAGGCCAACCCTCTATCCACAGTGACACATTACCTCTCAATCCCCATTCCAGTTATTATTATTATTATTATTATTATCTCCATTCTTCCTGTCTCCTTTAATAGGATTCATATAGAAACAGTTTGGGATCAAGTTACTATCCTACTCTTATATTTAATGTTCCATATTCTATGACACAGGTGGGTAAAATCATTATTATTTCATGATTCTCATCTTTATATTTCAATGTCCTATTTGCAGGACACTCCATCTCTCACCTCCCATCTGAGCACTATCTGTCCCCCATGCTTGGAATGCTCTGCCCCTCCCCCGCCCCCACCCCCAGCTCTGCCTTTTGGTTTCCTCAACTTCATTCCAGTATCAGTTCAAAGCCTACCTTCTATAGGAGGCCTTTCCCAGGCTTTGGCATTTACTTGGATTTTCAGATATGCCATATTCCCCTTCTAGAATTCCCCTTCTAAATTCTAAGAGGGTAAGGCCAATTAATACGTCACCTAAACTTTGTACCTTCTGTTCCGTGCTCACCATGGGCACTTCATGAACATTTGTTGAATTAAATTGAATCCTTAAAGACAAGTATTAAAAAGAACACTGGACTTGAAATCAGGAGATACTTGGGTTCAGATTCTCTCTCTTATACTTCCTGTGTTACCATGAGCAAGTGACTTAACCACTCTGAGCCTCAGAAGTTAATAGACCCACCAGGTCAAGGAGGGTGGAACAATTAAGATAATAGAAATGCAAAGTAAACCTCAAAAGACTATATTAATATCAACTATTAAAAAGTCCTAAATATACAGACAGTTCTGATAAAAAAAAAGTGCTCTGGACAAAATTAATTCTCTTCTATCCGACTCCCCACTGGGAAGTTTGTCTTCGTAGTTAAACTTCACTTCTCTTTGGTGCCAGAAGCAGAAATCTTGGCAGGGAAATGGAAGCAGGTCTCCATGGAAGGGAGGAAGGGGGCCGGGTGGCTAGAGAACCAAAGGACAGCTGCTGCCTACTTCCTCCATGCAGGCCTCCACGTGGTGGGAAAGGGGGGGATTGGGATGGAAGTGGGGGGGGGGGAGGCCAGAGTCACGAGGCCGCAGCATGGCCAGGTCTTCAGCTGCTGTTTACCAGCTGGGGAGGGAGGAGGGGTGCCCAGGAGCCCTGCCCCCTCCTGTCTGGCTCCCTGCCAGCCCCAGCCTGTTGGGTAACATTGGGAGCCAGGCCCAGCTAATCAAACCCTGGTACTGGGCCTGGGACGGGGACAGGCGGCCACCAGGGCAGGTATTTGTTCCTGTCTCTCAGGCCTGAGAAAGGGGGGAGGGGAAGGGGTGGGGCGTTGGAGAGAGAGGGTCTCTAAGTCCTGGGATCTGCTGTAGGGCCCTCACTTCTTTCCTGCCCCACCCAACACCCCCAGCCCCATATTCCTCTGAGCTACCTGTCTCAGCTTTCTCCAGATAATTTGCAGAGCTCAGGACTACCTGTGTTAGTTACAGAGTGGCATGTGCACTCTGTATCTAGTAGGCCTTCAAGGCATGGGAGATCACACCTGGTCTGGGAGGTGCAGGGGCAGCCTGGAGGGTCTGGGCAATATAGGGAGAGGACCTGGAGGAACTGAGGTAGGTAGTGGGTTGGAGGAGAGGCCCGAGCTGCCCTGCTAGATCTCCTGTATCTCTGTATCCCCCTTATCTTTTCCCAACCTCTATCTTTCCTCATCTCCCCTTCTCTCTATTGTCCTTCCCTCTGACATGCATCTTCTCTGGCTTTCCATTTCCCCAGTTTCTGTCCTCCCCCCTTCCCTCCCCCCCCCCGCTTGCCAGTAGTGCCAGGGTGCTCTGCCAGCCACTCCTCTCCCCTGCCTACTGCCTAGCCAGGTGCTCCCTCCCTCCTTCCCTCCCTCTCTTTCTCCCCTGGGCCCTGATCCCCACCCGGGACCAAGGACTTCCAACAAGTGAGCTGCCCCATGGACAGGGCCCCACCGAGTCACCACAAAGCCACAAGGGGTAAGACAGGGAGGGCGGGAAAGGCACAGGAGAGAAGAAGGGAAAGAGATAGGAGGACAGGTAGAGAGAAGAGAGACAGGAGGTGGAAAGAGAGGAGAAAGAGGAAAGAGGGAGAGACAGGGAAAGAGGAGAAGCAATGAAGAGAAAAAGGGAACAGGAAGAAACAGGAGGAGAGAGAAAGAGAAAGAGAGAAAGAGAACAGAAGAGATAGGGGACAAGGAGAGATTAGAGAGATAGGATAGAGACATAAAAGGAGAGACAAGAGAAGAGGAAAGGTAAGGAGAAAAACTAGAAAGGAGAAGAAAAACACAAGAGGAGAGACAGGAAATAGAGAGCTAGGATAGAGAGATGGGAAAAGAGGAGTGATGAGGCAGGGAGAAATAGTTAAGACAAGAGGAGACCACCAGAAAAAAAGGGGAAGACAGGAGAAAGAGACAGAAAAGGGAGAGACAGGGGATTGGGAAAGATAAGGAGAGACAAAAAGGGAAGAAGAGGAAAGGAGGAAGAGAGGCAGGAGAAGGTCACAGTGAGGAGAGAGAAAGAAACAGTGCAGGGGGGGGAATCTTGGAGTTCATTTTCAGCTAGTTTGTTGTGGGTCCCTTGTGTGTTTCTACACAGACATAATTATTAGGGTCCTATCCACACCTGGGCTCCACATCCCTAGCTCTGAGTCCCTCTTGGCATCTCCCAGTTTTCCTGGTGTTTCCCACTTGGCAGTGCCCAAGCTGAGAGAGCTTGATCCTGGTTGTAGAGGATAGTGGGGGGGGGGGGGTATCGGAAAAAGCATTCCCCACTGCCTACCCTGAAGTAAGCTCACTTTTTGATGTCAATGTCAGTACCAACCAGGTAGATTTTTAATTCTGAGGGAGTAGGGGATAGTATTGACCATGAGACAACTGGGAGGCGATTTTTTGGGGATAGAGGCACCAGGGCACAAGCAGGCACACAGGTCTAGCCCTGAGATTTTTTACATCTTTGTCTATGATGGACACTTTTGGCAATCTAGTAGTCAGAAGACCCCTTCTTAGAATTAGGTTTTTGAATTCATAAAATAAAATATATAAGATTGTGAAGGAAACCAATTCTAAAAACAAATTCATGAATTCCCCAAGTTAAAAGCTCCTGAATCTAGAACCTCAGATGCAGCTGTTTGGCTTTTGGCAGAGGAAAAAGCTTCTGGGCCTCAGTTTCTTCTTGGGTGGTGAAGTAGACAAGAGTGCTGAGACCTGAGTTCAAATCTAGGGTCTGCCACTTATTAGCTATGTGACCCTGGGCAAATCATTTAACCCCTGCCTGCCAGAGTTTCCTCATCTGTCAAATTGGGGATAATAATAGGGGATTGTTGTGAAGATAAAATGAGTTAATATTTGCAAAGCACTTTGAAAACCTTAAAGCGCTGTATAAAGGCTGCTATTATTAGGATTATGAGGCAAAAATGAGAGCATTGGACTATTCAACTTGACAAGCATTATTTATTAAGTGGTTTCTTTGTGTCTGGCTCTATGCTAGGGACTGGATGATTCCTAAAATCACTTCTAGCCTGAAATCTGTGAACCTATGACTTCTGGTCCCTCTAAACCCTCCGACTAGCTAAGTGGTCCCTGCCGCTCTCTCTGTTTCCTCTCTGGTGAGCCTTACCTAAAATCAGATCCTCCCAGAGCCCTCCATGGTCAGGCTAGCATAGATGTCAGAGTGGCCAAGCCACTTGTAAGTGTGTGTGTGTGTGGTGGACTGGAGGTTGGGGGGGGAAGGAAACCTTTCCCTATGCTGGTGATGGAGAGAGGGAAAATGTCTTTTTCCATTATTAGCCCCCAGGGCATCCAGGATACATACAAAAAGGCTGAACCCCAAGAATACTGAGTACCACACCAGGGAGGAAGCAAGAAAACTCAAAGGCTGGGGCAAAGGCAGAGTAGGTCCAAGGAGGTAGGAAGTACTCTCCCACTGCCTCCTCCCTTCTCTCCTCCAGATGTTGTCTGTCCAACCAACAATCTGAAGATTTACCTGGCTGGGGTACAGGGAGAGGAAGAGGGAGGTATGTGGCCAGCTTGGAGCTGAGGGAGCCAGGCAGCCAGTCTCCTCCAACCTGGTAGAGCTGGAAGGACAGAGGAAATAATATCTGTGTGGCTGGAGTGAGTAGGAAGCCAAGAGTAGCTCCCCAAGTCTTGGTAGGCCTGGGGGGGGGGGGGGGTCTAAGGTGAATTGCTCAGGAACTCTTACTTCTTAACCTGTCTCCCAGATCCAGAGGTGAGTAAGGCTGCTTGGCCTACCCCTTTCCCCATTATGCATTCTATTCTACTTTGGACCCCAAACCAAAACTGGTCCTTCTCAGTGTGGTATTGTGGGTTTACAGAGGCCAATGAGGTTCAGCAACAGGTTTGGTTGAGGTGATGGGGGGCTAATGGGTTGTGGGGTGGGGTGTATTTGTGACCAGTCGGGGAAGAGGACTCTCATCTCTTGGCCCTATCTACCTTCAATGGGCCCAGAGTCCTCATAATTCTCCTTTTCTTACAGGGCCTGAAACTGCCAAGAAGACCCATACCTGTGAGTGTATATGTGTATGTTGGGGGTGGGGAGCTGGGAGATGGGGATTGAGACCGGGGTCTGCTGGGGTGGAGGGGTTCCTGGACTTAGAATTTTGGAGAAATGGACAACTTTGAAAAATTAAGGTGGGGGGAAGGCAAAGATGGTAAAAGATAGGAGAAAGGCCAGAGGAGATAAAAATGACCAGGAGAGCTAAGAAGAAGGGACAATGTAGGGAAAGAGAGAATGAAGAAAAACATTCATTGATATTGGGAAAATGGAAAGATGGAGAAAGGAAAATGTGGGGAAAGGAAGGATAAGAAGAGAGGAAAAAGGAGAAAGTAGATGATAGGGAAATAGACTGGGAAGGACAGGAAGAGAACAGCAATGGCAGATAGGGAGGATATAGGAAATCTGAGGGTAGGCAGGGATGGAGGCTCAGCCTGGAACCTGGTAAGGGAGGCTGGCAAGGGGATCTAGAAGGGCTCTGTGGCCAGCCTGGGGTTTGGTGTTCATCTCTGTGGTTAACACATCCTGAGGTGTGAATGAGGAGAAAGAAGTGTGGCAGGGAGAGGGGGCCAGAGGGGAGGGGAGGAGGAAGAAGTAGGAGCCCATCCCCCCACCTGCCACGGGACACAAAGTGTTTCAATGACCAAAGCTGTTGAGACACCGGCATAGGCAGTAGGGAGGGAGGTTAGACCTCAGGAAGGACTTCCTCATGGCTACTGATTGGACATACTAAAAACAAGGAAGAGACTTCATCTTCCTTGAGAATCTCTCTGCTCAGGGCAAGATTCACACCCTCCTCCTACACCGCCCCCTCACCTATTTACACACACACACAAACACACATAAACATATGCACAGGCACATACACACACCCTCTTTTGTGGATCTGGGACACATGGAGAAAAGGTACAACTCCTCCCTCCTTTTTTGATAGTCACTGAATTTCCTCTTAGGCACTGCCCTGCCTCTATCCCAACCCCAAGAGACAGTGGATCAGAACCAGGATGCTGGTTCCCACCAAAAGTCTTTCAGTTTCACCTCCACCCCTGGGTATCCTCCCCGAAAAGCTCCAAGGAGTATCTGAGCTCGTATCTGGATAAGAATCGAATAATCCTGGGATAGGTGAGCTTTCCTTAAGGTTCCGTCCCTGGGTCTTCTACCCTGACCTTCCAGATATCTCATTTCCATCCCACCTGCTGCAAGAATTGCTGGGAAGCTTCCCCTTGGACCAGAAGTGCCCTAGAGGACGCTTCTACTTTCCCCAATTACCCTAGGGCTGAGGAGATGGGGGAGGGGTTGCAGAGAAGCTGGGGGCTAGGGATGTCGCATCCTCTTGGGTGGGGGGTTTGCTCGGCTCAGCAGAATTTTTAAGACCTCACCCTCCCCTAGCCACAAGGCCTCACGGAAATGCTGAGCACGACCCACCCGCACAGGAGGAAAACGGGTCAGGGAGTGACGTGAGTGAATCGTATTAAGGGGAGGAGGGGGCAAGTTAAGGGCCGGCAGTACGTGGGTGGGGGGAAGTAGGGGATTTTTGGAAGACCTGGAATGGAGAGAGATCAAAGTCCTTCCTTCCTTCCACTCCCTCACCCTCACACATCAATTCTGGCCAGGACCCTCCTCAGGCATCCACTCTGACCTTCTCCATCCCAGGGCCATTGGCCGTCGGCACCCACTTTTCCTGGCCGTCGCAGGGCAGCACGTTCCAAGCAGACCTCTCTACTGAATCTCCTCTGAAGGTCTTTCTAGTCCCAGAAAATCCAGCTATGTGGCAACCTATTACAGACCTAAGGATCAGAAAGTCATTGAACCCTTCCAACAGAAGCAGACTTGAGATGGAAAAGGATAGTTGAGGGCCAGATCCTCCGGGCTGAGACAAAGCCCGAAGAAAGCATTACCCTTATTTCTCCCTTTTCCTAACCCCAGACACAGAAGTTTCTTGTCAAGAAATGAAAGGCAAGAGAGGAAGTATTGGCCATTCAAGGTGATAGAACCTCCCCAGACCATGCTGGGCAAGTCTCAAGGATGGGGCTTGAACCACTGTCCAGGATCCAAGGGTCTAAGTTGTTTCCTCAACTCAGACACCCCTAGGAAGATACTCCATTTACCCCTGGAAGGGTCCCTCTCGGGTGGCGTGGATGACCGTGGTGATGCTAAACCAGGCCCTGGGCCCTCGTTCCTAGGACGGTATCTGGCAATGAAGGGCAATATAGATATTTTGAAGACAAGAGACTAGGGATTAAGGGGTAAAGCAAGGAGGGGCCAACCCCAGGTGTATGTGAGTCTGGCTCCCGCTCCCCCAGGCCCCTGAACCAACCAGCAGATGGAAACAGCTTTTGCTGCCTGTGGCTGCTCACATGTGGTTTTGGAATTTTCCAACGCCTGCTGTGATTGGCTGCCTTACCCAACACCCACCCACCCCCTTACACACGCCCCTTCCATTGCCCAGGCCCAGATTGGCCACAAGGAACGCCCATCACCCCTTCCCCACCCCTGGGGGGGGCGTCCCAAAGCCACCTGTGCACTGTTTAGTTTAAACACCCCCTCCCCATTGCTGCCTGGGCAAAGTGAGGCGAGGAGAGCTGTGGATGTTGTGGGCTGCTAGTGCTGCTGACAGACTTTGTCTCCTGCTCCCCCCCCCCAGCACTACCAGTGTCAAGGTGCCCTTCAGCCTCCCCCAAGACCCACAGGTGACCTGACAACCAGGTGGCTCAGCCATGAGAAGTAAGTGAACTGGGGCAAGGGTAGAGATATTTGCTTAGCTCAACCCAGCCACTAGAGAAGAATGGGACGATGTCCTGGGAGAATAGTTTGTGAGAAACTCTGTTCTTTCTGGAGCACTGTGCAGGTAGAGGTAATGGGGAAACTCACATATGTATTACTAGGTAGGTCTCTACTGAGCTCTACTGAGCTATTGGCATAGCTCATCGCTAAGTACGGCTGAGTTGCAGAGCAGTGGAGAAAGCAGCTGAGGGTGGCTCCAGGTGCCGAAAAATGAGGGTTAAGAAGAAAAGGGAATACGGAATTGTAGTATCCAGGTCTTAGAAGGAAGAAAAAGTATACATTTTACAATGAAGTAAACTGAGACCAAGTCAAGTGAGAGGGAGAACAGGAGCTCAGGCCAACATGTTGTCGTCCATATCACAGGGATGTGAGATTGACCATGAAGCAGCCAGGGCAGTACGTTTTCAGGTGTGTGTACATCCGTGTTTCTACAAGTGTGCATTTATGGATGTATCCAAGATGAAGTGTGGGAATTAAAAGCAACCAAATCATCTTACTGTCTTCTCAGAGTAGGGCTCATGCCCCTGATGAGCACTCACATGAAAGGACCGACAGATAAAGGGTGTATTAGGGAGGGGACTGAGCTGGGCCAGGACAGAAGGAAAGCTTCCTCTGGGTTCATAAATGGACGCTATAGAATACATCATAGCACTGAAGTTTGGAAGAGTGAGTGCATGGGAAAAGGGAGGTCCCATGCCGTACATTCTCCCATCCCCTGTGGGCTGGAGCCAGGCAAGTGCCTAACTGTCCTTATTCTCCATAGAGAAAGCCTGGGCCCAGTCTGGGTTAGCCTGGGGTCCTTGGTGTCTATGAGGAGAACGGAAAAATCACTGGGTTCAGGGGAATTGTGAAGAGGAGTAGGAGACCTGAGAGGTGCCCCAGTCCAAGGGTTTCCCTAAAAACCATGGAAGAAAGGGCCTTGAACAGAGATTCAAGACCCCTAAGTTCTCTTGCTGGCTCTGGGGTTCACCAGTTACCATGAACTAAGAGAGTTTAGACCTCAGTTTCCTCCTCTATAAAATCAGAAGGTTGACAAAGACCTCTCAGGTCCCAGCAAACTAACCTTCTAAGAGTCTGTATAACTGTGGGAAATCCTGGATGGAAGGAAAAGGATTTTTTATGCAGGAAGATTGGAACTGAATATCCCAACGAGTTAGGTATCCCAAGGGGGACATAAAGATTATTGACCGATAGCTTGGGGATTAATCAAATGACAGCTCCCCCACCATGATTGTAGAGGGAGTTAGGGTAGTGGAGGGTGGATATGAACCACCCCATCCGCCAGCTTTTCTACAGATGAGTAAAGGAATCTCCAGCAATCTGGGACTGGGCACCACTGACCCGAGTCTCTCGGGTGCTATCAAGGTGCTAAGATCCCTGGGGGGGAGGTAGCCAACAGCTGTTGGTTGTTTCCAATTGTTCTGATCAAAGAAGACCCCAAAGTAAAGGGGAGATAGTCCTGGTACACAGTAGATGCTTAATAAATGTTTATTGCTTGACTGATTGAGTCAGGCAACATGAGTCCTGAAACAGAGAGAGAGAGAGAGAGCCTATGATTTCTTGAGCAGAGGGAAGAAATTCCCTCTGCCAATGCTGGTCCTTCCTCAGTAGCTTATCAATCAATCACTAACCATTTATTAAATGCCAGGCACTGTGCTAAACACTGGAGATACAAAAAAAAGAGGCAAAAGACAGTCCCTGTCCTCAAGGAGCTTACGATCTAGTAGGAGAGACGACATGCAAACAAATATAACAAAGCAAGATATATACAGGATAAATAGGAGATAAGTAAAACACGGAAGACTTCTCTTAACTAGAATTAAGAGAAGTTAGGGAAGGTTTCCTGTATAATGTAGAATTTTAGTTGGGGCTTCAAGGAACCCAGGGAGGTCAGTAGACCCAGTAGAAGAGGGAGAGCATTCCAGGCTTAGGGAGTGACTCGCCCAGGGTCACACAGCTACTGGTATCAGAGAAGGGACTTGACCCCAAGCTGGCTCTGAGGCCAGGTATCTATCCACTATGCTGTACAGCTTTGCATAGAGGGATAGAAACAAAAACCAAGAGGCAGGGAGAGCAAGGGAAGTATGTTGAGATAAAAGCAGAAAATAAGATAAAATAGGGTTAGAGCAGAAGAAGAGAACTGAAGAACAAGATGATGTGATGATGATAATACCTCGAGGCTGTACAGAGCTCATCATCTCTCCCTTAGAACTGTCCCTCCTCCAAACGTCCCCCAGTCTACCAAGGCCACTAACAGCTTCCTAATCAATCTCCCCCACCCTGCCCGTTTCTAACCCTGAAGCTATTTGCAACATTTCTGTCCCCCTCACCTCTCCATATCCAATCAGTTGCCAAATCTTGTTGTTTCGACCTCTGTAACATCTGTCCTCCATCCCCTTCCCTCTAATCACATAGTAATCACCCAGGCTCAGACCCTCATTGCCTCTTACCAGGACTATCTTGTTAACCTAACCAGTCTCCCAGCCTCCAGTTTCTCCCCTCCACATAACTGCCAAACAACCTTCCAAAGATGCAGGTCTAACCATTTTACTCCTCAACTCACCAACTGCCATTAAAAAAAAAAAATTAAAAGGGCCCCTCACACTAACCTTAAAAACACTCCACAGTCTGGTTCTACCTTCCCAGTCAATTCACAATATTTCCTTCCGTATACTCTATGCTCCAACCAAGCTAGACATCTAACGGTTCCTGAACTCGGCCTAACCATCTATGTATTTGCATAGAGCATCCCCCACACCTGGAATCACTTTTCATCCCTGCTTCTCAGAATCTTCATCTTCCTTCAAAGCTACTCTCAAGGGCCACCTCCTCAATGAAGCCTTTCCTCCTGTTGTTAATGCCTTCTCCCTTTGCACAGTACCTAGCATTTACTTATTTGTGGATATAGATCTATAGCTGAAAGGGATGTGAGTACATCTAGGCCAATTCTTTCACTTTATAGATAATAATGATAATAGCTAGCATTTATATAGTATTTTAAAGTTTGCTACATGCTTTGTATATATAAAATCTCATTTTGATTCTCACAGTAGCCCTAAGAAGTAGGTGCTATTTTACAAATGAGGACACTGAAGCATAGAGGCACAGCTAGCATCAGAGCTACGATCTCGGTAGTAGGGAAGGAAGGGTAGATTGGTTTTAGAATTTCTTCCTGAAGGGATCCCGGGAGTCTGGGACTTTGAGGTACTGTTAATTTGCTGTCCAATATGGTCAATAGAGGATAAACCATCTGTATGTATATCTAATGTCTAATCCTAACTCATGTAGTTGACAATTTGAGATTTGCAAATCACTTTTCTCACAGCAACGTATTAGTAGTACACGTATTACCATCCCAGGCCCCATCTTGGAAACAAAGAGAGCTGAAAGGTTAAGTTACTTGTTCAGGGTCCTGTTTGTAAGTGACTGAGGCTGTATTCAAACTCGAGTCTCCAGGCTCATCATGGTAGTTCTCTGCCATGATGCCTCCCACCTGCTTGGTGGATGAGCATCCTCTGGGAATAAGGATGTGTTTGTATAGGCGCTGACTCCAGGGCAGTTCTGAGTCAGAAGCATAGCTCAAACTTTGGTCAATAGGAGACCACAACCCAGGCAAGGACCCAACACCATGAACTGGTTCATAACTATAATGTATCATTCTTTCTAAACTAAAGGGAGTTGAAAGCCAAAGAGGGACATACCCTGAAAGTGTATGGGAGCCTCTTTGTGGGGGTCTCTCTGTCCGAGGATCCCTCTGACCTCCATCAGCCCAGCCATCTCAGAGCTATGATCACCCATATCTTACTGTGACCCTGTGCCAGCCTGGCTTGGTTATGGCTAATTCAGTGAAAGATTCTTCTTCTCCACAGGGACAGCAGGTGAGGAGGCAGAATCCCAGACCTCTTGAATGGGGGTCCAATCCCCTAGAAGTTCCCCCTTGTGCTTTAAGCTTTGCAAAGTCCTACCTCAACCCCTATACCTGCCCCTTTTCCCTTTTGTATTTAATCCCTCAAATACCAACAGCCCAAAGCATTAGCTGCTGAAGGGTCCCATCCTGTTCCAGCATAACAAAAGGACTTATTTTGCTGTCCAATTCCACAAATATTTATTAAGTATCTAGCGGGTACAGAGCATCGGGCCAAGCTTTTGGGGAGATGCAAAGCTTAGGGTTCCTGCTTTCATGGAGCTAATCGTTTGGCCCAGGGATGAGACACAAACATATATTGTTCCAGTTCACTGTATTACATAACTAGGTACCATGTGAGATCTGAGGGGGAAAGGTCGCTCAATGGGTCAGAGAGGTTTGCCTTTAAAGGATAATAAGTAGGAATTCAACAAATGAAGGGGAGGGAAGAAAAAGGAAAGAATAGGAGACAACATGAGTGAAGATACAGAGTTAGTGTGGACCCCTACCTAAAGAGTTTCCAAAGCTCTTATCACCTACCTGCCATACTCTTTCTGGCCCAAACAAATAGGAAAACTCCAGACTTGATAGTGCCCCAAGGAAGGGAGACATGGCAATCCTCACTAGAGCCCTGAATGGTTGGGTGGCATTTCTTGTGATCTACCCTCCATTCCTCATGCTGGTACAGTCTTTTGTTGTCTCCAAGAAAGATGGAGAACTGTATGATTTGCCAGGACCTGAAATAACAGGTCCTGCACCAGTAGGAAGTAAAGGGGAAATGCGGCCTATTATTATGTTTCTAGAAAACCCAGGAGAGAGACACAGAGAGAGAGGTGGGGGGGGGAGACAGGGGGAGAGAGAGACGGAGGGGAGAGAGAGATGGGAACCCAGGGCATGAGGTCCAGGGACTCAGTCAACTGTCTTCTGTTCCTGGCCCCTGCCGGGGCTTCTGGCATCCTCCTGAAAGGGATGGGAGTTTGGTCCAATAATTTGGACCTATATTTTGGTCTAATAGGCTAAATCGTGGGGATGGAGT